CATCAATAAATCTTACATACTTTTTATTTTCCTCTTTATTATTTTATTTATTTGTGTTTAAAATAAAAAATATTGGAATAAGAATGTCGAAATGATAAAGAGTGCAGAATTGAATATTTTCTGTTAAAATCTTTGATTATCTTATTTATTATTCAATTAATTTGTATTAAATTTTATAAAAGTTGATTATAAGATTAATTTTTTAATTTATTTTATTTCATTTATAATATAATAATTGAAATTTTAGACTACTTAAATAATTTAATATATCATCCTATTATTAGGTGTGAGTATTCGATCGAGTTGAGTCAAATTAAAAAATTGACTTTGTCGAGTTGTCGAGTTTTATTTTATAACTCAAACTTTATTTAACATTTTTTAGTTTAATTTATGAAATTTTAGTAGAGTCGACTTTTTCTTATTTTTATTTAAATTTAATTGTAAATATTTATAATATTATGATACTATTTGATTCTAATTTAAATATATTTTATAATCATATATGCTATATGTATTTCTTCATATTTTTTTTCATATGTGATATACATAATCATGTGGAGTTGAGAGACACGACTCGAACTTAAAAATCAATCTATCAAATACTAAATATTTTAAATTATTTAAGTTTTATTTTATTACTTAAATTAGATTTAAAATCTTTTCAAATCGATTTGAGTTTATAAAATTATTTTACGATTAATATAAATGCCTAACATTGTGAATGTTCTCATTTTAAGTGTCCCTTAACAGTCATTAAAAATCTTGTTAAGTGACACGTTATGTATTTTCTAATAATTTAAAAAAATCATTTAAGAAAATAAAAAAAATATTATATTTTAAAAAATATTTTTTTAAAAAAAAATCCCCCAACCCCTTCCCTCCCTCCCTCCCCCAGGCCCAGCCTCCTCTCTCTTATATCCCTTCTCCCTCCCGTCTCTTATATCCCTTCTCCCTCCCGTCTCCCCTCCCTACTCAATGCCCAGTGTAGGTATGAGAATTAGAACAAATGTTTTCAAAGTTTGAAGCTTTTTTAAAATTTTCGGGGAAAATTGAGTTTTTTTTAAAAAAAATAAAATATATATTTTCAAGTTTTTTTTTAAATAAAAATTTTCAAATCACCAGAACATGACATGTATAACTTAATGGATATTTTTAACGGTCGTTACGTCTGAGACACTTAAAATAATAATATTTGTAACGTAAGATATCTAAATCGACGAAAAAATAATTTAAACACCTAAATGAAAAAAAAGATGTGATTTTGTTAAGCCTAAAGGTAACCCACAAATTACATAATGCTTTTTTTTTTATTGATTTCCATTTTCCCTAATCTAGTGATAAAGCATATTTTTAACGATGAATATCCTTAAAAACTAATAATTTTAGTTAAGAGTTCTTTCTGAATAAAAGGTTATTATGATCTATTTTGAGCATTAGTTAATGCTGGCATATTTGTTATTGGTATAAGCTATTTTGAGTATAAATTATTTTCAACATGATTTTCACTGATGAAAAGTTTCGATGAATCTGTTGAATGATCTGGGTAATAAAAGAAAATATTATTTTTTTAAAAATTTTGAAATCGAACGGTTACGTTTTGTAAAATGTATATTTTTTATATGATAAGAAAATTGTGAACATAAAATTATTGTAAATATAATAATTATTATTATTATTATTTTGAAACAATATTGATACTTGAATCTTTAACAAGTAAAATGTTCAATTTATATCATCATTATTTAAAAATTATTTCTAGGTTATGAATTTTAAAAATTTATATGTGTATATTCTCAATTTAAAATTATTTTAATTTGAGTTTTGTTATGTTGTTTTATTCTAGATATAGATATATTTGATATATACATAACTTATATTTATATTTATCTTATAATTTACTATATATATCCATTTTGATATTATAATTAAAAAATGAAAGAATTTAACTTGTAGAAAAAAGACTCACTGGTGTCAAGTGGTACCAAATAAATTCCATTTGACAAGTAACTACAAATTAAGTAATGCACGCACGTTTTTGCAGTGGGAATCGACCTTTTTATATATATAATTATAATAATTGTTTGTATTCTTGATAAATATAATTATTCGAATACAGTGCTTTAAAGAAAAAAAACTTTTTCTTTTATTATTAAGATCATTTAATGAGTTTATAAATATTATACATTTAAATAATATCTTTTTATTTCAATATATATTCTCGATGCAGTGGATAAGGTAATGCAATGAACATGCTTGCGTTACAATTTACAGCCTCTTAGAGGCAATGCGTAAGAATATTATTCACCACGAAAAGTTTTATATGCTTATGTTCTAACCGATAACTGATTTTTTTTTGTTGATTTCGTTTTTATTTGATTAGATTATCCTATTTAAACGATTAATTTGGTTTATTTATTGATTTTAAATATTTAAATCAAATAAATAAATTTTTATATATTTAATTTTAAACCCATTAAATGATCTAAATGAATAAACATATTGTTGCTCTTTTTAAAGGTCTCCGACTCAAACAGCTACGTCTGCATGGTGTGTTATTTACCCAAAAATTAATTTAACACAAATTGACATAATTATATATTTAGTTCTCACTATTTATACATTCTATCAAATTGCATCTATTTTTAATTTAATTAAATAAATTTAATCATATGACGATATACATCACTAATAATATGTGTCACGACACAATTTACCATCAGATCTATCTTCTTCTTCTTCTTCTTCTTCTTTATTAATTTTTTTTTATTTTTTTGGAATTGAAAGGGAAACAACGCTAAGGTATTATTTAAGATCTTAGATAATTAATGCGGCGTTCGTTTTAGCGGCGCTGTAACACCCCTAACCCGTATCCGACCAGGATACGAATTCAAGGTTCAACATTAAATAGTCAAAGCATATACTTTTATAAAATAAACCATAGCAAATTTAAAACTTCTATTCTATAAAGAAATTCTTTTATATAAACATGTTAAAACCTTAATAGTCTCCATCAGAGCTTACATATTTAATGACTTAGTTACATGCTAACATACTAAATTATATGACAAGACATACTTTACAAAATAATTCTGATCTGAACTTTGTGCGGAGATATGCCGCTTTACGGATCCGAAGCTTGATCTTCTGACTTATCCACACCTACGTGTAAGACACTTACACGCTAAGTCATAGACTTAGTGAGACATGTAAATATATAAAGTAAACTAACAAATGCATGAACATCTTATGTAATACACATTATACTTATATACATATTGAACTCATCACTAACATGTTTATACTTACTTATTTCCTTGTCATTAATTCAATTTCACCATATGAGCATATATTGAACATAAACGTATAATATAATTTCAAAACACAACAATACATGAATAATTACTATGATCATATCATACATAACCATATAACATTTCATATCACCATTACACAGATGCACTTGTTACCATTATTATCATATGATCCTAACTTATCACTTATACATATCACATATACCATTTCACGAGAAACACACGTATCATTATATCAAATTATGTTTTATTTTCAAAGCCCATGCACACTATTGAGAACTTAAGGTATGTGAGTACATAGAGGTTGTGCACAATGCTGTCACCACAGCTCGTATAAATCCCACTAGGGGCGCGTAGAATTTGTCCCGTATGACCACTATGTCCCGAATGACCACTATGTCCCGAAGGACCACTGTGTCCCGAAAGATCATTATGTCTCGAAGGATCGCATAGACCCTCGACTCTTGGCATGCCAACTATACATATAGCTCTCATAACACATGACATGGGCATTACCTTTTATATCTTTTCACATATTCACATAGGCACATAGTTCAGTTTTATATAGCATATTTCCATATAATTCACATTCACTTATCACATAACTTTTCACTTTTACTTGTATGCCTTTTCACATAGCTCATAGTCCTGATTCTTATCTCATTACACATGTTCTCATACAATCCCTTTATTCAATTATCACATACATAACATATCATATGACATTCTAATAGAAACACATATAAGTCATATTACTTTCACATATATTTTATCCTATATCTTATGATCATATGACATATTATCATAAATATATGCATTTACATAGTTCACGTATAAAGATGCATTCAACAATTAGACATATGCATTTACTCATATACAATACATCTAGTACCATATCACTACATGTTTATGCTTCAGTACTCATATCACATAATATCGGAATTAGACTCATCGCAAGTCTTAATTCCTTAACATAACATACACTTAATAGCATGTACTCACCTGGTCACAATGAACATTATCAAGTTCTTGTTCTTTCTTGTGAATCTTACTCTGACGACCTATCCGAACTTTGTTTTCGATCGATGTCTACACAATCATGTATTTATACTATCAGTATCCAATTGATATACTATAATCTATCACTTCTAAGACTGAAAGAAATATTTATTCCATTTCCCATTGAAGTGCATCTATACATTCTATAGAGTATCGATGCATCCCTTAACATGTGCATCGATGCACTACTCATGCATCGATACACAAATCACCTTCGATGTTTTAATCTTAAGGGGTGCATCGATGCACTCCTTATGCATCGATGCACTAATAGCATTTGATGTTTATTTATTTGGGACTGCATCGATGCACATTGAAGATGCATCGATGCACACAACCCAGAAATTCCATTTTAAGCACGAAATTCACTCTCTTTTCATCTCAAATCTTCATCTTTCACCTCCTTTCAATGTAACACCCTCAACCCATACACGACCCGGATACGAGTCCAGGATGTCACATTGACTATACAAAACAATACTCTAAAAAAACAATAAAATATTTGAACTTATATTATTAAAATACAATAATATACATATGTTAATACAAGTTTATCAAAATACTCAGAGCATACACAACTTGACACTTTGATTACATGCCAACATTCATTTACATAACAAAAGGACCTACTGATTAAGTTGCCTCTAATATGATAGTTGCAGGAGTAGTATTTTCCATCTGCTTAACATGTCTCGTCTACTTTCTCGGATCCTACGTGTGAAACACTCACACGCTAAGTCATCGACTTAGTGAGGCAATATAATAATAATAACAACAAATAAATATAATGAACATACCATAATAAGATATAATGAAATCAAATCAAATACTTAACCATGCAGTTTATATCATCATGTTCCTTACCTATAAGCATAGTACATTAACATTCATGAATTCGTATTAATAAGTTTATTGCCCCATGATACCATACTGAGAACTTAAGGTATGTGAGTACTGTGAGGTTGTGTACTATACTGTCACCACAGCTCGTATAAATACACTGAAGTGCCACGTAGAATTGCATCGAATTACCGTGTAGAATTGCACCGTAGTGCCATATAAGATTGTCCCTAAGGACCACGTAGAAAATTCCTTAAGAATCATATATATATTCCAAGGATCAAATATGTGTCTCAAAAGACCTCACACATGTTCCAAAGAATACATATATGTCCCGAAGGACCGCGTAGACCCTCTACTCTTGGCATGCCAACTATACATATAGTTCTCATCTACATAACATGGGTTTTTTTCCCAAATTACATAGTATATCACATAGATATATCATTTCCTTACCTTCATCACATGGCTCATATAACTTTGCATACATATTCATTTAAAACATGTTACACAATGCACATAGTATGAATTCATATCATGCTTCACAATATGAAATGAATCATGCATCAATGTATTGAATCTAGACTTCTCAAAAGTCTAGAACTAAATATATCGCTATAATCATGTTATGCATAAGCACTCACCTATATTTATTTGTTTTTCCTCGATCGATCTTATTGGGCAATCGCTTTGGAACTTGTGTAGGCTCTTAATCTACATCGTAATCATTGATACTTATCAGTATACTAATTAATATATTCTAAACTATCATTTCTTGGGCTAAAATAAAAGTCATTTTCATCTTTTAATGAAGGTATGCATCGATGCACTATACCATGTATCAATGCATCCCTTGACGGGTGCATCGATGCATTATCTATGCATCGATACATAAATCCTATTTGATGTTTGTATTTAAGGGGGTACATCGATGCACTGATGGCATTTGATGTTTTTATTTTAAATGAGTGCATCGATGCACTTTGTGTGCATCGATACACCTTGAACAATTTCTGGGATTTATCCTTGAAGCATCGGCACACATTGAATGTGCATCAATGCACATAGCCCAGAAATGTTATTTTTAGCACGAAATCCCTTCATAATCCCCTCAACACTACATAATTCACCTCCTTTTATATCCCTAACTTGCATACTCTTACTTAAATTAATTATTATTCATTCCATACCTCTAAAACTTAGAAATCTAATTCTCCATATAGAATTTAAGAATCTCACTCAAATTCCAACATGTTCTTAATCTAATTCTAACACTTCCTATTTCTTAATTAGCTTGATGACAAGTAAAATCCCACTTCCAATTCTTATTATGAACTCTATTCCAAGATTTCACTTTTCTACTTCCTTTTTTTAATCCTTTCTAACTCCATCATATTTTGATTTTAAGATAACCTAAGCTTTCCTTAAGCTTAGTTATCATTTAATGATCAATAAGCAACCTTAAATTCATCAAGAATTTGATCAACAAGAAAACTCACCTTTAGATTGGCTTCACGATAGAGAAGAAGAATAAAAAAGAAGAGAAATCTGGAACTTTGGTTTTCCCCAATTGTCTTCCACGTGGGTATTAAAATATCCCTTCAAAAGTAATATTTAATTGATTCCCTTATTAAAAGCCTTATTTACCCCTTTAGTTCCTCATTCTTTGCTAATTGCTCCTACACAAAACATTTCAATCAATTCTTTAAACTTTTTAATTTATCCATTTTGGTCACTGAATTTTTTTAAATCTCACAATTTGATCACTAACCCGGTATAGAGGATGTTACAAATCTCCCTCCCTTAAGAAAAATTCATCCTCGAATTTTCATTGTACGAACAGATGAGGATATTGAAGTCACATATCTTCTTCACGTTCCCACGTGGCTTCTTCTACCTTGTGATTTCTCCAAAGAACTTTGACCAACGGAACCATTTTATTTCTCAATTGCTTAACTTCGTGAGCCAATATTTGTATTGATTCCTCTTCATAAGTCAAATCAGGTTGAACTTCTACTTGTTATGGTACAACAATGTGAGATGGATCATACCTATAACTTCGTAACATGGACACATGGAAAACATTATGGATTTTCTCCATTTCTGGTGGCAAAGATAACTGATATGCCACTGGTCCTATTCTTTTAACAACTTCATATGGCCCGATGAATCTAGGACTTAGCTTTCATTTCCGACCAATTCGTAATACTTTTTTCCATGGTGATACCTTCAGAAATACTTTATCCCCAACTTCAAATTCAATATCCTTTCTTTTAAGGTCAGAATAGGACTTTTGCAGATCAAATACCACTTTTGGTTATGTTGAATTTCCCGAACTTTTCTCTTCCATATCTTGAATCAAATCTGGATCAAGTACATTTTGATCTTTGAGCTCATACCAGTTTAATGACATACGACATTTCCTCCCATATAACGCCTCATAGGGTGCCATTTTAATACTGGACTGATAACTATTGTTGTAAGCGAACTCCGCCAGTGGTATGTATTTCTGCCACGACCCTTTAAACTTAATGACACATGCTCGCAACATATCATCCAATATTTGAATTATTCTTTCTGATTGTCCGTCTGCCTGAGGGTGAAAGGCGGTACTAAAGTTTAAGCGAGTCCCCAATGCTCCATGCAAGGATTTCCAAAATCTTGAGGAGAATCGAGGATCTCTATCAGAAATTATAGAAACAGGCACTCCATGCAATCTAATAATTTCTCTAATATACAACTCTGAATACTTTTCCATAGAGAAATTTGTTCTGACGAGAAGAAAATGTATTGACTTGGTCAATCGATCAACAATTACCCAGATCGAATCTCTTTTGTTTGGGGTCAGGGGTAACCCCGAAACAAAATCTATTGTTACATTTTCACACTTCCATTGTGGAATGGAAATTGTTTGTAATAATCCAGACAGAACTTGATGTTCGGCTTTGACTTGCTGATATGTTAAGAACTTGGACACAAATTCAGTAATGCTTCGTTTCATCCCTGGCCACCAATATCGATCTTTTAAATCATATACATCTTGGTTCCACCCGGGTGCATCGTCAATGGACTGCAATGAGCCTCTAACAATAAATCTTTCTTCAACTCTTCATCGTCTGATATCACAATTCTTTTCTTTATAATACAATTTCCCATTAGACTTCACCTCAAAATCCTTAATTTCCTTATTATTTACTTGCTCTATTATTTTCAAACATATTTCATCTTGCCTTTGCAATTCTCCTATTCGGTCCAACCATGATGGTTTAAGTTTTAACTCTGCACATATACCACCGTCTCCAGTCAAAGATAACCTTGCATCCATAGCTCGTAAAGCTGCAAACGTTTTTCTACTCAAAGCATCTGCTACCACGTTAGCCTTTCTGGGATGATAGTCAATTATTATATCATAATCTCTCAAAAACTCAACTCATATCCTTTGTCTCAAATTAAGCTTTTTTTAAGTCATCAGGTATTTTAAGCTCTTATGATCCGTATACAAGTAACATCGTTCTCAATACATATAATGACGCCAAATCTTGGGAGCAAACACCACTGCAGTCATTTCTAACTCATGGGTGGGGTAATTCTTTTCATGTTGTTTCAACTGTCTCGATGCATACGCTACCACCTTCCCTTCTTACATTAATACACACCCTAACCCATTGTGGGACGCGTCACTGAATACAACAAAATTCTTACCAGATTTCGGTTGAACCAATACAGGAGTTTCTGTTAGAATTCTTAATGAATCTTCGATAATAACAGGCAAGTCCAAGGAAACTCTGAACTTTGGATACATTCTTTGGAACTTCCCAGTCCATTATAGCTTTTAACTTTTGAGGGTCCACTCGAATCCCATCTGCAGAGATCACATGCCCCAAAAAAATTACTTCATTTAGCCAAAATTCACATTTGGACAATTTGGCATAAAGCTTCTTATCTCTGAGAATTTGCAAAACTATTTATAAATGTGCGCTATGCTCTTCAATGGACTTCGAGTAAACCAGCATGTCATCAATAAAGACAACAACAAACTGGTCTAAATAGGGCTAAAAAATCATGTTCATGAGATCCATGAAAGCAGCAGGTGCATTCGTTACCCCGAATGGCATTACAATGAATTCATAATGGCCATATATCGTTACAAAAGCAGTCTTTAGAATGTCCTTCTCCTGAATCTTCAATTGGTGATAACCCGAACGTAGATCGATCTTCGAGAATATCAAAGATCCTTTTAGCTGATCAAACAAGTTATCAATGCGCGGGAGGGGATACTTATTCTTGATGGTCACCTTATTAAGCCGTTGATAATCAATGCAGAGACGCATTGACCCATCCTTCTTCTTAACAAATAACACCAAAACTCCCCAAGGCGACACACTTGGTCGAATAAATCCCTTCTCTAACAACTCTTGCAATTGATTCTTTAACTCTTGAAATTCTTTCGGAGCCATCCGATAAGGTGTCATTGCAATCGGAGCTGCTCCCATCATTACTTCAATTTGAAATTCTACCTCTCTATCTGGAGGTAATCCTGGCAACTCAGGAGGGAAAACATCAAGGAATTCCTTAACTATTGAAATCTCACCTAATCCCTTCCCTTTAACTCTTGAATCTATCACATTTGCAAAAAAACCTTGACATCCTTGTAGCAATAGCTTTTTAGCAGACATTACTGATATTACATTTGTTAAAGGATTAAACATTTTACTGATCGCACTTATTTCTGTTTCTCTTGGACTCTTCAGGGTTACTTTTTTCGATTTGCAATTAACATCCCCATAGTAAAAGAACAACCAATCCATTCTCAGAATCACTTCCAACTGGTCAAATGGTAATTCCATCAGATTAGCAGGGAATTCAATTCCCTGAATCTTTATGGGACACCCCTTACAGACTTTGTTCACCCGAGCACTATGGCCTAAAGGATTAGTTAGTATAATCTCATTACTCGTAGCTTCTAAGAGGATCCTCAATTCCTTTACTAACTTACTTGTAATGTAAGAATAATTAGAACCCGAATCAATCAGTACCAATACTAATTTATCATACAATTGAAAAGTATCTGCTATAATATCAGGGTCATCACGGTCTTCACTTGTCTTTAAATTGTACACCCGTGTTGTTGACCGAACTTCAGGTTGAGCAGAGGATTCAGACTGGTTCATTCCTCTACCTCTTCCTCGTCCTCTCTGTGAGGCAGAACCAACTCTCTCAGATGGTGTAGGTTCACCAACCATCAACGGACAATACTAGATAAAATGTCCAGCATCTCCGCATTAGAAACAAGTCCCAACATCCATCCGACACGCCCTAAAATGGTTTTTCCCACAATACTGACATTGTTTCGCTTGACCCTGATTGAATCTCACAGCACCAGATCCCACCGACTGCGTCTGTCTAGGTCTTGCCTGACTTGCTCCTCTAGCAGAAGATGCAACTGATTCTGATCTAACTTATTATTGAAATCCTAAATCTCTTCCTCTTTTTGGTGGGTCTGAACTGTAAGAAGCACCCATCCTCTTTGCTGTCTGAACTCTTGAGTCCCCAAATTTCTCATTCTGATCCCTTTCAAGAGTCTTTGCTCGTTTAATCACCTCCTGAAATGAGGACAAGTTTAACACTATCAGCATTTCCTTAAGCCTAGGGCGCAAGCCCTCCATAAACCATTCACACTCATCTTTTTCAGTAGGCACAAGCTCAGATGCAAACCGACTCAGCTTGTTGAACTCGCATTCATACTCATATACAGAGCGGTTCATCTGTTTCAAGTTCATAAACTCCTGCTTCATCTGCCGAATAAATTAATCTCTAATGTACTTGTTTTTAAATTTATCTAAGAACAAAAACCAAGTCAACTGGTAACTTGACATCCTCATGGTGACGTTCGTCCACCATATTCTCGCTTGACCCATCAATAACGAGACATCTCCATCTATGTAACACCCTTAGCCCGTTTATGTCTCGATATACGAGTTAAAGATGTCACATCAAACTGAAAATATTTACTGAACTAAAATTTCCGTAAAAATTTGTTTCTTTTAAAATACTCTTGTTCTAACTTTAAAAATATATTTTAAAGTATATTTCATATTATAATTTATTTCTTTATTACAGAAAAATAAAATCATTATTTATTCAGTAATTTTACTAAACCATGTCTTTTCGTAAAACCTTTTAAAAACATAATAATGTAATAAATTCTTGTCATGCATAGTTACCAATAAAACTAAACTAAGTAAAATAAACTAAAATAGTTCTAGTTTACTATTACAATTTATTTAAATAATATGATAATTAGAAACTATTGACATAATTATACATGCCACTATAAGTCAAAAGAAACATCATAGATGTCTTACTGATACTGATGATATATATATCTTTCCAAAAGATGATCCGATAGCTCCTTACTGATCGTACTTATCCTTACTAGAACCTACGCATGAAAGTCATCACGCGCTAAGTATAACTTAGTGAGGCAGTAATACTAAATGTGAGAATAATTAAATAAAATATCAAAATATATAAAATCATTAAAATAAAATAGACTGAAATTCTTCAGAACATTCAAACCATATATCTCATGTTGAACTTTATAATAAACCTGAAAATAATCATCTGATAATTTTCACAAGATCATAAATAATCAGATCAGATAGAATAATCAATTCATAATTCTTTAGTCAGACACTTTTCAGAACTTTCTTATTTCATTTTTATAGCCCGAAGTATATTTTAAGAGAATATAAGATACGTGAGTCAGACGAGTGTACGCAATACAGATATCAGATCATCAGTCGGAACAGATAAGCACACACAGTGCTATTACATCGAAAATAACAATATGCACACCAGGTGCATTCAGATCAGAATATATATATACTAGTGTACACTCAGGTACACCACAGTATATCAAAATCAGAACAGATAATCACTCCACCTCATGGCATGCCAACTGTACGTTTGACTCTCAATATAACATACAGTGGGGTTTTAGTTCATTTCTTAACCATTTGATAAACATCATATCAGAGTCGAAAATATATTTAATTTACATTCTTAAAATATGACATGGACAGTTCATGTCCAAAAACTTTCATAAAACTTATTAAAGAAATTATGGATATAATTTCATAATCAAAACATAATTCATATCTTTGAAATAAATAAGGTGAGGTTGACTTATCGCAAATCGTCCTCAATCAAAATAATTAAATAAATAAATTGCACTCACTTTTGCCTCACTACAGAACTTGTATATAATAGTCCTAGTCACGAGCTTTGTCCTTTCCTTTCGAATCGTTCGGATTGCTAGATTTAACGTAGTCTGACAATACCAAATTATAAAAAAAATTGTCCGAACTACATATTAGTATCGTACTAATATAAGCTCGTTTTAACATTTGAAAATCTATATAGTAAAATCGATAACTAAATCGATAACAACCAAACTCATAACTCCATTATAACTTCAAACTTATCGAAACACTTATTCAATTCCATAAATAATTATTTTCAGCATGATTCTTCAACTTTTACGAATTATAAAATCTAACCACATATTTTAAATTCTTCCTAGAATTCAACTCAACTTTTCCTTTAATTTCATAATAGCTCTTCACTATTATTATTTCCCATCAATATATAAAATTTCCAGCAACTAAAATAAAAGTTCAAATCAATAATTCAACACTCAAATGCTTACAATTTCATCCTAAACTTTCTTAGGCTTTTCAATTTCAACCTTACAATTTGATAAACTTGAAATTCAATCCCAACTTAATACTTAAACTACAAAATCAGCACACTTTCCAGAATTATTCTAACTCACCCAAATGGTACTTTTACATTTAAAAATTACTCTTCATCTTCTAATTCATTTCAACTTAAATTCTAAAATTTCCATATTCAGACAACTTGCACTACCTTTAAAGAATCAATATTCTGTATTGATACACTCACTGAAATTTAATTCCGTTTCTTCCTTTAAAAACTAGACTCGAATACGAATCTATCCATATAAATAACTCATTCTAATTCAATCTGTACAATTTATGGTGAATTTTCAAAGTTGACTAACAGAATCTGTTTTATGCAGAATCTGCTGCCCGTTTTTCTGACCTTTCTTCGGTTAAAAATTCATATATTTTTTTATACACCTTGAAATTGATACCCGCTTATTTTAAACAAAACTAGATTGATATAAGAACATAATATATAAAAATCACCTCCAAATAATTTTTATAGAATTTCTGGTGAATTTTCAAATTCACTGCCAAATTCAAAATTTAAACTGTTTTCATTAATTTGCATCCTTAGGTTCTTCATCAATTCTTACAACACTTCTAATATCAAGAATCAATCTTTAATCATAAAATCACACTTCCCCTTCATCAATTCTTACCAACTTGAGCATAAAACATGAAAATTTTTATGCCAAATGAAAGAGAAATTCATGTAGGTTATTTTATCTTTAATAGCCTAACTTAAAATTCTAATAAAATGAACCAAAAATTTAAAAGAAAATCCTCTCACCTTGTAATTTGAGTCTCACGGCTGCTGGAGAAAGAAGAAACTGAAATTTTCTTCAATTTGCTAGACCTTATCCCTTAATACACATGTCATTATATAATATAATGAATATTAAATTCATTTAATCCACTTTACCATTTTGCCCTTAATAAAACTTAATAATTTCATCCATGCCACTTATGGCATCATCACTTACCTCATCAAATTCAAAAAATATCTAAATTCTAATTTTTCATGTTTGTCCTTGTAATTTTTGAAATTTGCAATTTAGTCACCTAATTCCAAAATTTTGGCTTAACATGGAAAATCGACTTTAATTCCATTGATCCATGTTAAATTTCACTTTTCTAAAATATAAATAATATTTCCAACCTTTATAACATCCTTCAAATTTTCGTAAAATTTTGGTTCGATCCGATTATCTGATTTCAATATCGAAATTTACTGTTTTATATCTTTTATCACAATTCCCGTACCAAAAACATGATCCCCACTAAAATCTCTGTTTTAATCCAAACTTTTCATTTACAGGCATAAAATATATATAACTTTTAAAAATTACAAATTTCAGTCCCTACATTTTTCAAAGTTTATACTTTAGCCACTAAACTTTCAAAACTTACATTTTAGTCACTGGTTAAATTTTTGGGGTATTACAATCTAACTTCTCCACTTTAGAGCAGTGAAGACCATCCAACATGATTTTCAAATCATTTAACCAAAGATCCCCCGCAACCGGACCTTCCTCAGATTCTCCCTTAAATTCGGGAGCTCCCAAACTTCTCGACTCTTTTGCTACATTCATTCTTTGAATTGGTGGGGCAGGAGGTTGCAGACGCGTCAGAATAGCGTCCAACGTCCTGAAGAAAGTGTCTTGGTCATGTACAGGCACTCCCTGATATGTCTGTCCTTCACCTTTCCTGGCCAGGGCAGGTGAATTACTGCTTTCAGCAAACCTATATTCTCCCGCTTCACTTCGGGAGCTATTATGTCCGGACATCTAATAAAATAAACACATTGTTCTATTAGCAAAACATCATACTCATACTATACCAGATTATAAGTTCTCACTATTTGTTGGCATGTATTCTATTTAAAGACTCTATAAACCCTGATTTATGCCTAGAATCGGCTAAACCATAACTCTGATACCATTAAATGTAACACCCTAAACCCATACCCGACCCGGATACGAGTCCAGGATGTCACATTGACTATACAAAACAATACTCTAAAAAAATGATAAAACATTTGAACTTATATTATTAAAATACAATAATATACATATGTTAATACAAGTTTATCAAAATACTCAGAGCATACACAACTTGACACTTTGATTACATGCCAACATTCATTTACATAACAAAAGGACCTACTGATTAAGTTACCTCTAATATGATAGTTGCAGGAGTAGTATTGTCCAGCTGCTTAACATATCTCATCTACTTTCTCGGATCCTACGTGTGAAACACTCACACGCTAAGTCATCGACTTAGTGAGGCAATATATTAATAATAACAACAAATAAATATAATGAACATGCCATAATAAGATAGAATGAAATCAAATCAAATACTTAACCATGCAGTTTATATCACCATGTTCCTTACCTATAAGCATAGAACATTAACATTCATGAATTCGTATTAATAAGTTTATTGCCCCATGATACCATACTGAGAACTTAAGGTATGTGAGTACTGTGAGGTTGTGTACTATACTGTCACCACAGCTCGTATAAATACACCGAAGTGCCACGTAGAATTGCACTAAAGTGTCGCGTAGAATTGCACCGTAGTGCCATATAAGATTGTCCCTAAGGACCATGTAGAAAATTCCTTAAGAATCATATACATATACCAAGGATCAAATACGTGTCTCAAAAGATCTCACACATGTTCCAAAGAATACATATATTTCCCGAAGGACCGCGTAGACCCTCTACTCTTGGCATACCAACTATACCTATAGTTCTCATCTACGTAACATGAGTTTTTTCCAAATTGCATAGTATATCACATAGACATATCATTTCCTTACCTTCATCACATGGCTCATATAACTTTGCATACATATTCATTTAAAACATGTTACACATGCACATAGTATGAATTCATATCATGCTTCACAATATGAAATGAATCATGCATCAATGTATTGAATCTAGACTTCTCACAAGTCTAGAACTGAATATATCGCTATAATCGTGTTATGCATAAGCACTCACCTATATTTCTTTGTTTTTTCCTCGATCGATCTTATTGGACAATCGCTCTGGAACTTGTGTAGGCTCTTAATCTACATCGTAATTCATTGATACTTATCAGTATACTAATTAATATATTCTAAACTATCATTTCTTGGGCTAAAAGAAAAGCCATTTTCATTTTTTAATGAAGGTATGCATCGATGCACTACACCATGTATCGATGCATCCCTTGACGGATGCATCGATGCACTATCTATGCATCGATACATAAATCCTATTTGATGTTTGTATTTAAGGGGATGCATCGATGCACTATCTATGCATCGATACATAAATCCTATTTGATGTTTGTATTTAAGGGGGTGTATCGATGCACTACTTGTGCATCGATGCACTAATGGCATTCGATGTTTTTATTTTAAATTAGTGCATTGATGCACTTCGTGTGCATCGATACACCTTGAACAATTTCTGGGATTTATCCTTGAAGCATCGGCACACATTGAATGTGCATCGATGCACATAGCCCAAAAATTTATTTTAGCACGAAATCCCTTCATAATCCCTCAACACTACATAATTCACCTCCTTTTATATCCTAACTTGCATACTCTTACTTAACTATTATTATCCATTCCATACCTCTAAACATAGAAATCTAATTCTCCATATAGAATTTAAGAATCTCACTCAAATTCCAACATGTTCTTAATCTAATTCTAACACTTCCTATTTCTTAATTAGCTTGATGACAAGTCAAATCCCACTTCCAATTCTTATTATGAACTATATTCCAAGATTTCACTTTTCTACTTCCTTTCTTTAATCCTTACTAACTCCATCATATTTTGATTTTAAGATAACATAAGCTTTCCTTAAGCTTAATTATCATTTAATGATCAATAAGCAACCTTAAATTCATCAAGAATTTGATCAACAAGAAAACTCACCTTTAGCTTGGCTTCACGGTAGAGAAGAAGAATGAAGAAGAGAAATCTGGAACTTTGGTTTTCCCCAATTGTCTTCCACGTGGGTATTAAAGTATCCATTCAAAAGTAATATTTAATTGATTCCCTTATTAAAAGACTTATTTACTCCTTTAGTTCCTCCTTCTTTGCTAATTGCTCCTACACAAAACATTTCAATCAATTCTTTAAACTTTTTAATTTATCCAATTTGGTCACTGATTTTTTTTAATCTCACAATTTGATCACTAACCCGGTATGGAGGATGTTACATTAATAATCCTAACTTTCATACACACACTTAAACTCATTTCTACTCAATAATCACTTTTTTTAAACTCAACATCCTATCCTTTATATGGCATTCAGGAATCACACTCAATTTCCAACATGTTATAATTCCAATTCTAACACCTTATACTTCTTAATTCCACTAATGACAAGTCAAATTTGGTCTTGAAATCTAATTAATATCTTTCTATCAAAATTTCACTTATTCGCTTCTTTTCTTTAATTCATCTAACTCTCTTATCCTTGAATTTTAAGGTAATTTAAGCTTTCCTTAAGCTTAAGTATAATCTAAAGAACAAAACCTAACTTAAATTTCAACTAATAATCAACTAATAAGAAATCTCACATTTGCCTTAGACCTTCACGTATGAAGAAAATAGGAGGAGAAGAGAACTATGGAAGCTTAGATTTACTTCCCACCTTTCCGCGTGGGTTAATATATAACCATAACATAATTTAATTATTTCCTTACAAATGACCATCTTATCCCTCTATTTCTCCTTCCTTGCAATTCAATCCTGCACAAAAATTACAATTAAATCCCTAAACTTTTTACTTGTTTCAAAATTGAGCACCAAGTTTCCAAAATTTATATTTTAGTCATTGACCCGGTTGTTGGGATGTTACATGCGCTCTTGCTAACGCGAGAAGATTTTTAACGACACTTAAAAATGTCATTATAAGACTAAAAAACCGCCGCTAAACCTATTTTGTTGTAGTGAGATATAGAAATTTTCAAACATCCCTTTCTAGTAGATCGAATATAGATAATGGGGGAGTATCAAGGATTGTGATACCAACAGAACGTAAGAATATGAGCATGAGCATCTGCTACATATATGTTTTACGGAGAATCCACTGAAGATACGTCGTCCAACCTCCATACCTCAAGTTTTTAATTGCTTGTGACAAAAAAACTATGTCTAATAACATCATCACCATCGGATTTATCTTTAAATATATTCTAATTTATTATTGTTAGGTGATAAAAGTAAAAGCTATATCAAACTCATTACGTTAAACTTTGTTTAAGCAATAGAGATAGGGATGATCATTTAACCCGAAACAAATGAATTATAACTTAATTCGATTCGATAAGGTTGAATTTTTTAAAAAAAGATCCAGATGAAATCGAATTTTATAAATTAGTGAGATCAAGTCGAGTCGGGTTCGGTGGAGGGTGAAAAAACTCCAACACGATCCGAGGATAATAGTGTATTTTTTTCAAATAAATTCATGGATAATTGCTATAATACCCCCTCTCTCAATTTTTTAAATTAAGTATGATTCGGGTCGGTTTGAGTCGTATTTACACTCTCAAAAAAGTTCGGTCGAGTCAAAATCGGATGGAAGATATATATTTTTCGAATCGGACCAAGTAAGGGTGGAGTGTATATATTTTTCGAATCAAGTCGAATTGATAAAAAAATCTGACCCAAACCAACCCATTGTCATCCATGTCATAAATTCTTTGTATTAGATCTATTTTGAGGGTTTAATATTATTTGAAGGTACAACGTTGATAGTATCTTCCATTTTGACCGAATTAGGAAAGGTTTTGTTAGGCAAATAATTCAAACAAAAAAAATTAAAGAAATATATGTGTTAGAATGTTAACTTGGGATCTAAGTAATTTGATATAGTTTTTTTAAAATCCGTCATGTCTTTGTGATTAGTTTCATAATTAAAACTCGTTATACTCTCATTATGAGTTTCATACAACTTTTATGAAATTCACATAACAAGTTATATTTTTAAATATATTTTATTAAACTCAAGCATAACAAAGTTTACATATATATTAACAAATGACTTATATATCAAATAAATTTTCAACATTTAAATATGTCAGATTTTTGTTTCCACTCACCATATTTCTAAAATTTAAGCATTGGTCGATGATATTGACACATGCTCGTGGAAAATGTCGAATTTTTGGGAATACGTGGCGACTTTTGGTTGCGTGCGTAAGGTAGGGTGAGATTTATCCAACCCAATCTAAACATTTTCAACCATCAACAACTACTAAAGTGAGTCTACGGTCCACTTTAAATTAGGCCGTTTTCTCATGCACGTGAAAGTGAGAAAATCCACGTTGTTTTACTTAAGGGTGAATATTCGATTAAATCTAGTTAAAAATTTAAGTTAATTGAGATAAATTCTATTTTATTGTTTGAATTTTATATAAAAACATCCCAGTTGAATTATTTAAATTTATTTTTAAATATAATTATATATAATATTATCATATATATATATATATATATATATATATATTATTTTTTCATACGTGTAAGGAATATCTATAACGTTATTTAATAAATTAAATATTATCTAAAATTATAAAATATATTTACAATTCTAATTTAAAGAAGAGGTTTTTGAGGGAAAATATTGATGGTTGTATAAAGGAGTCAAAAAATTGATGAGAAGAAATAATTTATAAAAATTACAGTCGAACGATAAAACTTAATAAAATTGAAAGTTAAAGGAATAAATTACAAAAAAAAATATTGTTAAAAGTAAGAATTGAAGTTTAATAGGTATCCTATAGTGATAGTGTAACACATGTTTCAAATTTAGTAAAAAAGAAACTTAAGACGAATGAGGAATGAGGAATTATACAACTAAACTGAAAAAAGAGGAAATTTATTTTCAAAAAGAGGAATTGAAACCACATAGATATTCTTCAGTGGTTTTGGTGCATATGATACAAATTTAATTAAAATATAAGATTAAAATGAAAGAGGAATTGAATAAATGAAAAAAAAAAATACTAAATTATAAAAAAATAAAATTCAACTTCTAATTTTCCAAATTGATAAAATCCAAATTCAAAAAGGGACTTATTCGAGCTTGTAGTTTTTTGTATTATTATTTTGAAATCTTTTATTTATCTACTATTATTTTTTTTTTGGGCGGTGTGAGTGAAAATCTAACATTTCGTTCTTTTAGATGTAAGTGCATTGAACCAATTGATAATTTTAGTTGACAACTTGACATAATGGGTAATATGTTTTCTTGGTGACCCGGATTTGAGTGTATGTAAGATGTGATACTATATAAACACACACACACACAAAAATTAAAAAAAGGGAAATGCATCACACAACTACAAATTTGAATAATACATATTCAAACAAACTAGAATCTAAATATTAATTATTACAAAAACATAATCAGATTAATCACAAATCAAAATAAATTTGAAAAAAGTTCAAATACAAATTTATTCTAAATACGAAATCAAATTTCTTACTACATACTATAAGCTATTGAATCTGGTTTACTGTAAATAGGAAAACAAATTTCTTATTATATAGATGCCACTTATAAAATGACCAAAAGAATGGTATAAATTCTCAATTCCCTACCACCCATCAAGAAGTCAATACATTCTTTCGGGTGCAGGAAGGAGCAAATCTTAGAGATAATCTGCCCTTCAAAAAAAAAAAGGTGAGTCATATTTGATTTACCTGCGCACAAATGCAATGCTCTCATTGTGCCATATTTCTCTCTCTCTGTATATATATAGGGATGTATATACTATAATTAAGTAAATATTCTTGTTTTGTACTACTTGGCTGACTCATCTATACTGTCTCTTGGTTGAGAAACTGACATTTAGGAACCGTACCAACAGTAGACGAGATAGATAAGATAAAGATGAACTTTTAAAATTATAAGGGGACGTAAATAGATTATCATTAGAAAATTATAAATAAAATACCTAAATTATATTAGAATTTAAAATTTTCAGGGAGGCGACCTTCCCGCCAGCCGCCCCTCGGTCCATCCCTAACCATAAAATTGGCAATGAAAAGTTATAATAATGGCAATATCACGCATGAAATCACAAGGCCATTTGGATAGTAAAGATTAATTACCGGGGGAATAAGAGTTTTGACTGCTGATAGAAGAACCACTTTGTTCTGGTCCACTCCAGTGAATTTGAGATTTAACATTTTAGGAATTATAGAAACCTACATCAATGGAGCAAAGAAACCTCCTTTCATCAAAAAGCTCCATCCCTTTTCTTGTACTTCGTTCCTAAGTTCCGTCGAATCTTTCATGTAGTCTGCACCAGAAACATTGTACACGCTCCACAAAGCTACTTGATGGTGATGTAGCGATTTGTCCCATGTCTAGCCCAGTAGGTCTTCAGATCCAATGGAATAGAGAGATCTTGGCCTTCAGCAGCCAAGCGACTGAGCAACTTTGTGAAGACACTACCACTCATCTTGCGACCACCCACTCGGGCATGACGCTTAATCGGCAACTGTGGCAATGGGTATGATGACATGGTTGTAGTGCAACAAGATGACTGCCATCCACCACTTCCCCACTTGTAGCAATGTCGGGGAACTCCTGTGCAGGTGCAAACTGGCACGGGCATTGTGGTTTCATTAAAGTTTACCATGTTCAATCCGATATCCTGACCATTCCACTCAGATTTACACTTCCTTACCTCAGTACCAGCTTGCCTATTTAAACCCTCAGTCACTTTCTTAATCTTCCGTGGCTGCTTCGGTGAAACAGCTTTATTCACCTTTGTCCGCTTTACAGGACAAGACTTGCCTTCTTCAGAAGTGATGGTAGATACTGGGATGGCATCAGTAACGTGCTTTTCACAATTGAGAGTTTCACCCATATCAGTTGAATGGTAAGAGGGATGCATGCGTCTTCCTCCACGCTGAATACCACTACCAATTGGGAAGTTCATGGCATTTTCCCGGTACTGTAGCACAGCTAAAGCATAATCTCTCTCAATATAGGCACTATCCCGTTCAGCAAGTGCCTTATCCCGCAGCTGCAGAGCCTCATCTCGCGCAGCCAGTGCTTCCTTCCTTTCAGAAACAGCAATGTTCCGTTCTCGAATAGCAGCATCCCGCTCAGCAAGTATAGATATGATTTTTTTATTCATGACCAAGGCATTGCTTTGTTCCTTCATGTGATGTTGTGGCATCATGTTCCACTGCATGTATCATTTGCATAATGCTTAGATAAATCAAATATTGAATAATAATATAGACACTAAAGCAACATCGTCCAGTGGGGGTTTGCTAGTTTTCTTTTTACCGGAGAGGGTGCTCCTTTGAACTGATCCAGCTTACATCTCCCATTTTCTTGTTTCCCCGCACCATCCATCTAATATCAAGTCTGAAAAAAATAGGCTAAAAATTTTCACATCGATTCCTCGACTTTAATGCAAATACAAAAGTGAATGAGTTTCCAGCATGTTGCACATGCTATTTCAAGTGATTTGCAGAGCAACTAGCAATGAGCAAACAGAAGTAGGGAACTATATAAAAAAACAGCGCAACTACAAAACTTTCGAAAATAGAGTGTAAGCCAAACAATCCTCGATTCCAACTAGAAAGCAGGTAGATTGGAGAAGGAAAAGTAAACAGCTACAGCAGATAAACAAATAAATATTAACAAAGAATCAAAAATAAAGTGTCTACTTTTAACCGATAAAGAGAATACATGTCAGAGTTACCAGGCCTAGCCCAAAAATAGAGAAAAATCATAAAATTCCCCGACAAGAGTACAAACTTATTTGTAAACTTAGAATAACTTTTTGATAAATTTCTGGAATATATCGAAACCAATACCAAGAAATTTTACACAATATTAAGAATATTTGTAGTTCAAGTAGAACCACTTCTCCAAATACTTTAAAAATCAGGCATAAGCCACAGCGATAACATCAGCATTTAACAAAAAGAGTACAACCAAGCTCTACATATAATTGGTTATCAGCACAAGGGGCTGACATATTTGGAAAAGAATGTTTAAAATTGTCATTTGTGAAGTCAGGATTGAATACTCAAGCCCTAGAGACTCAAAAGTGTCATGGTTACAATCATTTCAAACTTGTTAACAAGGCACCTGAAACAAATGGAACAACAGTCTTTATCAAGAAATACTAAAATGCATGCAAGGTTGTCATCAAATAAAGGCAAGCAACCAAAGAACTCGAGACGGCTTCTAGTGATTGACAAATATCTAAGCAGCAAAATGGGTAAAGCCAGTACCTACTATGAACACAGTCAAGCAAAGTTGCAATACTTATTAACACTTATTTCAGTAAGTTCATAAATAAGGAAAGCATCAAAAAGTAAGGGGTACGCACACACAAAACAAAACAAAATAAGATGAGATGAGATAAAATAAAAACCCATGAGCTTGATGAACAGCTCAAGAAAGAGCGAGTTCAAACCCTGACACCATAAACCCAAAGTCCAAAAAGAAATAAAACACAGGCATGAAAACTAATTAAAAAAAACAGAAAATATTTGAAATCCAAATGATTCTTGCATAGCATTTCCAGTCCCATCGAATGAACAATGCAGATCCCTAATTTCCCAAACAAAACATAGAAGAACAATTCCTTTTCCTTTAACAGATCAGTTTCAAGCAACTCGTAGGAAAAAAAATACTGAGAATGACATAAATGCAAGTAAACAAGGCTCTAATTAAGCACATTCCGTAGTCCGATTTTACCAGTGAGCATAAAATCGAACTACAACCTAAAACATTTAGTAATAAAAAATATACAACGAGCAATTACAAAAGAAGCAGAAATACACAAAACAAAAGGAGATAAAAGTGAACAAGAAAATGTACAACCCCAGGTCAGTTCTAGCTTCCAGTAAAGTTAGGGTTTGTTTACTACAATCGAAATTCCTTTTATAGAACAATAATTTGAAGGGGGAAAAAAGAAGAAAAAATGAGCTTAATAACCTCACAGAATGCTCGATGCGTGTGGGGAGATCTTGAACAAAAAAGAAAATAACTTGAGAAAAGTGAAAAGCTATCTTAAGTTCTTTTACAGAGAAATGGAGCAATGATACGAAAGTGCTTTTTCGTTCCCAAAACGGAAACAACAGCGTAGTTCGATTTCCAGAGACAAATTGTTTTTGCAAAGGACCAGAGACAAAAATTAAATTATTGGGAAAAGGGTTGAACTTTAGACTTGAAATAATGAAAACGACGACGTTCTAGATTTCTTAAGTCCAAAATAAAAACGCTGCCGTTTACATTTTTCTCTTCTCAACTTTATCTTCCTATATAATCTATAGAGTTAATTTTACTATACCGCCCTCAAACTATGACTTGTTCTAAATTGGTCTCTAAATGTTTGAATTTTACAATTTGATTCTTAAACTATGACTTTCATTCTAAATTGGTCCACAAAGTTTTGAACATTCCAAATTCATCGCTAAAATATTATCCTCATTTTGTATTTGTCTCTAAACTTTTTTAATATTTTAATTTCATCCCTAAACTTTTTCGAATGATTTTTGGTATCTTATGGAAATGTTTAAAAATTTGGGGAACAATTTAAAATGAGGACCATAGTTTGCGTGTGAATTTGAGATGTTCAAAAGTTTGAGATCAATTCAAAATGAGAGTCACAATTTGGAGATGAAATTAAAATGTTCAAAAATTTAGAGACCAATTTAGAATAAGATCCTAATTTGAAGATGTGTAGTGCAATTAACTCTAAGATATACTAATACTATAATTTTATATTGATTTAAGATAATTGGATAAATAAAAATGAATGCTTTAGATTAAAGCTTTGTGCACTTACATTATACACATCCCTTTTTATCCTTTAAGAACCTTTTTATTTTTTAATTGTGTATATCAATCACCTATTTACATTCTTTCAATATCATAAAACTAGAAAATTAAATATTATGTAAATATATGCTAGTTTGGGGTATTGATTGCATCACATGTTCTCGAACAATGGCATTTATTTCAAATTAGTCTTTAAACTCTTGAACATTTTAATTTTATCCCTTAATTATAAATCTTATTTTAAATTGGTGCTTAAACTTTTAAATATTTTAATTTCATCCCTAAATTATGATCCTCAAACTTTTAAATTGATCCTCAAACTTTTTAATATTCCAATTGCATCCACAAATTAATCCAAATATGTAATTAATTTCAACCTATATTTTTTAAAAAAATAATAATAATATATCTTGACATAACAGTTTTATTGACATTGGATATAATTAGTATATACCAATATTTGAGATGAAATTAAAATGTTTAAAAGTTTAACAGCTAATTTAGAACGAGAGTTAGAATTTGATATGGAATTAAAATATTAAAAAATTTAAATATTAATTTAACACGAGAGTTTTAGAAATAAAATAAAAAAACAATTTAGAATAAGGATAATAATTTTAAAACGTGTAATGTAATTAACTTTAAACTAATTAAAGAAAAATCTTTAGCCCAACACTTAACTTGGCCCATAACGCTCATTAACCGCAAAAGACAAACCTGAGCAACTATAAAAATTTGTGTATGGTTGTTTTCCCATCAAACTGGAGAGTGCAAATCAAAGTGGAAAATAGATATTTAAATAAACTCTCTGAAAACAAAGCTCAGATCTAAACCACCGTGTCTCAGATCCACTAAACTCACCATGTCTTCCTCTTTCAGCGGCGATGAAACGGCTCCTTTCTTCGGCTTCCTAGGCGCCGCCGCTGCTCTCGTCTTCTCCTGTAACCAATTCTTACCCTCTCTCTTCTTAAGTTATCGTTTTTTAATATAATATTTATGATCTCTTGTAATTTCCATTTTATTGATATCTGATGGAGCATTGATGGATCAACTAGATTTTAGCATCATTGGACGATCTGATTGAAAAAATATATATTATGATTTCTTTTTATAGTGAATTTATGTATAAATTTGATGTTATAATATTGAATTGATGGATCTTCGATGCTGAGATGTTAATAATTCTGAACTAAAAGTTTACTTGATCTAGCTGAGAAAATTGTGTACTTTAAAAGTTCAAGTTTTATTGGAATTAAACGACAAAATTCGCGTAAATTAGAGTTATTTAGATGTGGATCTAACAAGAATAATTCATTCTAACAATACCAGGATGTTTAAATTGATTTTTTAAAATGTGGATTTAGGGATTCCGTTCAAATAAACTCAGGCATGGTTTAAATCAGAAAAAAAAAAAAGTTTGAAGATTAGTTATGGATTGTCTTAAGTGAACCCTGCATGTTTTAAATTGAAAAAAAAAATTTAATATTTGTGATAGGTATGGGAGCTGCATATGGGACAGCTAAGAGCGGTGTTGGTGTGGCTTCAATGGGTGTGATGAGGCCCGAGTTGGTTATGAAATCTATTGTTCCGGTTGTTATGGCTGGTGTTTTGGGTATTTATGGTTTGATTATTGCTGTTATTATTAGTACTGGTATCAATCCTAAGGCGAAATCATATTACCTTTTTGATGGCTATGCCCATCTTTCCTCTGGTCTTGCTTGTGGACTTGCTGGCCTTTCTGCTGGAATGGCAATCGGAATTGTTGGTGATGCTGGTGTCAGGTATGTTGCTTTTAGCGTCATGTTTTTCACTTACATATGAACATTGTTATTGTTGATTGAAACCAGAAGTTGTTGGCCTGTTAAAAATTTGTTTATTCCTTTAATTGGTTGCTTTGTCACTATGGAGTTTACCGGCATGGTATGCCCTCTCCAAATTTGGTTTAATATCTAGGGTGCTCATGTCTCTTGTCATGGTTCTTACTATAATGTTGCATTTCAGGGTCTTAGCAACTGATTTTATATTATTGTTGTTTTAAAAGTTAAAACAGGCCTCAAGGAGATTTTGAAATCGGATAAAAGCGTCAGTTTCGGAGACTCAGTGTTTAAATTATAATAAAATTACTGATAGATTGATAATGTTTGATATGACCTTCGGATTGCTTGTATGTGATATATTTTGTTTATCTGTTGCTTATCATTGAAAGTATTTTGAATGCTCAATGAAATCAAACATTACGATAATTTGTGGCAGAGCTAACGCACAGCAGCCAAAACTCTTTGTTGGAATGATCCTTATCCTCATCTTTGCTGAAGCGTTGGCACTTTACGGCCTTATCGTTGGCATCATCTTGTCTTCTCGAGCCGGCCAATCTAGAGCAGAATGAGACGTTTGCTGAGCTGTTTTAGTATTCTTTCATTGCTTATTGTATAATTGTACGGGGAAAGAGTATCTCGGGTTAATTATGGTTTGACATCAAGTGCGAGGTTCGCATTAATACTCTTATGAAAACAACTACTTGGCTGCTCTTTCCTCTTCTTAGAAATAGAATAATCGAGTTTGTCTTAATAAAATGTTGTGGAGCTTTACCCTGTTTGATTTTTGTTTATCAGTATGTTGCAGAGAGTTGAACATCTTTAATGGAAGTTTAATTTTGTGAGAGACGATAAATGTATGATCCAGTGTTTAATTATATCCCAAGTTTCTTTGTCAGTGTATACTTGTGAATTTGAATCTAAATCTGAATTGATACAAATTTAACAAGAAATTGAAGCAATAGTAGGAGTACTGGTATAAGCGAAATAACAAAGAAAAAAATATCTTTAGTGGACACATTTCGATTCTGATACTTCTTTCCATATGAAAATCGAGGTATAGAGTCTAACTCAACTCGAATCGATAAAATTCTAAGTACATTATTAATATTATTTAAGAATTAATTATGAATTGTTAATTTTTTTTATGAATAGTTGCAATATTTTAGTTTGATGTATTTGTGGATTATTACTTTAGTTGTAATATATTAGTTTGGTGTATTTATGGAATATTATTTTGAAGTTTAGAATTTAGAATTATTTTACACACTTTTTTTCATATTTTTCTATTAATTTTTAAAATTTATATTAAGATCTATATAGTATTACTGGATTTATATATATAAAGTGAAAATTTTGGAGAGCTTAACAAGTAACAAGTCGGGTCGAATGATGAAATTTTTTTACCTAGTATGATTTGAATAAAATTTTATTAAACTTATCGAATATCAAGTAGATTCGAAAACAAATCGAATAATTTTTGGGTTAAAGCGGAAAAAAAATTAACTCGTAGTCGACTCCCTCAATAACATCCCTAGACTAGTAAGCGACTGAGCGTTGACTAGCGTTTGTGATATTAAAAACTAGTGTTTTGTACTTATGTTTGATTCAAATATTCACTACAGAGAAGTATATAATCTGATTTTTATTCAAAGATTAATCTAATCAAGGGTGTTGTGCACATTACCTCTGTTGGGCTTTTATAGCCTAAATTATAACAGCTTAATATATTTCAGTTCAGCTTACCAAATTAATAATGTATACATATTTTATTTGGTAGATATAGTTGTTCAAATTTAAAACTTCTAAAAATAATAACATTCCTTATTACTATTAAATTCATTTGATAGGTTTATTTTGATACATGTTTGAACGAGGAAAAGGAGAAAAATGAAGAATGGAACGTCGTTTACTATTCAACCAACGTAGTTTACAATTAAAAGACTTCATTTTGTAACTGGTCCTTGAATTTGTTCACTTCTCTCATCTTGGTATTTAAAGAGTAATTTAAGTACAATTGACATGTCATAAGATCTATAGCTTTTGTGTACGAGTAATTTAAGATTCTAATTTCGGTGAAGAGTGGGAATATCGTGTATTTGGACTTCAGTCCTGACGATGAGAAATGCATATTGTTTTAGTATAGTATTGATATTTGATGAGGTTGTATATTAAAATTTAGTGACGAAGAATTATGATTAAATGAAGATAAAGTTGAGTTTTTGAGAAGTTGATAACATGAAGCAAAAACATGACAAAAAATAAGAGTTAATTGTATCATATGTTTTTAAATTATAACCCATATTTTAAATTAGTTCTTAAATTTTTAAATATTCTAGTTTCATCCTCAAATTATGACCCTCCTTCTAAATTGGTCCCCAAGGTTTTGAATATTCCAATTTCATCCCAAAATTCATCCAATATATGTGATTAGTTTCAACCACAGTCTAACCTAATATTTTTCAAACATATAATAATGTAACTTAGGCTAATAATTTTATTAACAAGGGATGTGATTAGTATATAAGTATAATTTGGGATGAAATTAAGATGTTCAAAAATTTTGGGGACAAATTTTTAATGAAAGTCATAGTTTGAGGATGAAATTCAAATGTTCAAATGTTTGATAACTAGTTTATTATGATGGTCATAGTTTAGGGACGAAACTGAAATATTTACAAGTTTAGGGACCAATTTAAAATGAGATTAGTACTTTGAGGACATGTGATGAAATTAACACAAAAATAATAACGAGTAATTTATTGTCTTGAAATAATAGTCAGCATAAGACAAACAAAATTTAATTATTTTTTGAACAAACGACTTTCAAATATGTATTATAATGGCCTTGGATTCTTGAATGTACCCAGATTGTTTTGAAGGCGCTTTTCGAGACCCAAAACGTCCAGAATATTCCAAATTTTTAAAGATAATAAAAATAATAAGATGATATTGCTGGATCCGATGTCAACGTGTTGATATCACCATCAAATTAATAAATAATAAGGATAAATTTACTCTTAATTTAAAATAATTTATTAATATATAAAAAATTTATCAATTTGATTCTCATATAAGTATTAAACTTGCGATATCAGGAATAAAATATATTCAACCACTGAACCAAACTCGATTATTATATTAATAATTCACAAATATATTTTATTTGTAATTCTGGTCATTTATTCTTTCTTTATAATACCATATATTATTTTTCATATACTAAGATATCATTTAGAACTTAAAACCGAGATATATAGTATATTATTGAAATATTAGTGATAAATATATTATTATGATTTAATTTTTAATAAAAGTAAAGTATTTTAAGTCAGGTTTGTTGAGTTGAGAACATTTTTTTTGATAAAATGAATATCGAATTTATGTTTAGGAGGTTAAAATGAGTGAAACTTGAAACTTTGAGGTACAATACTCGTCGATGACAATCATCAATGTTGACCGACGATGACTGACAACGACAGTCGATAGTTGCAGTCAGTGACAGTAAACTTTGATCTAATTCAAACGTAAAAATGATATTTTATTTAAAATTTAGTACTCAAAATGATATTTTATCTGGAATTTAAATGTCAAGTTAATATTTTATTTAAAGTTTAAATTTTAAATTAAAATTAACCACTTTTATTAAAATGTTATGTTATATTAACAATTCAGTGACTTTATTAAGAAACAATTTAACTTTTAAAATATAATCATAGATAACATAAGTAATCAAAACCTAAGAAATCGATCATATAAATAATTAAAAATATTTTTTAATTTAATAAAAAGAATATATAAATATAAAAGAAAAATTATCAATCTAATAAATTATCATGAAAATAATTAGAGGATTTAAAATTTTCGCACAACTACTTCTAGATAAATTATATATTTATATGTATAAAATTATTATTTGGTTCACGTGTTCCACTCTTTTTTTACTTTGATTCTCATTGTATATGTATGATTTGGCTCCAAGTTTACCCTCCACAGCGCTGTAATTCTATCGTTCCCGCAATTAGCCAATTACGGAATCAATCACTACATAAGTATTGTACAGTTGCTGATTAAGATAATTGTTATTTGATTTTAAAAAATAAAATTTGAACGTATTTAAATATGTAATTATTATTTTTATTTAAAGACTGAAAATTAAATCATGAAGCACTCCACGTGAGAAAATACATAAGGAGAGTGAGGGAAAGCAGAATTAAATTTGGACCTTGGGTTGGGGTTAGATACGGATACGACACCAAATCTTATCTCTTTCTTCGGTTGTTCTGAGCCTGGTTAACATCGGCATGTTTTATATCTTTTCATTTTATTTTGTCAAAAAATAAAAATTTTGTTTTATAGGTGAGAACGAACGTTAAAATTTTATGTAGACAAAATAAATTTTTAAAACTTTAAGAGAGAAATTTTTTTAAAATTTTAGAGAGATAAAAATATATTATAAATAAAAAATTTAAAAGAAATTAAAATACATAATGATTTGAAAATTTTAGAGATAATTACCCTCACCAATCCATCTTCGGTCCATTTTGTTTAAGAGGACGGTGGTAAAATTAATTTTTTTATGTTAAATAACTATTTTTAACATGGGTCAGAATATATTTTTTAATTTAATTAAAGGATTAACAGGATTTTGAGTTATTGATGCTCTTAATGGACTGTAGATGAAATCGTACAATCAATCAAGGGAGCTGAGACCTTCGCCTACTCCTGGAGGCTAAATTCCCCCTGATAACCTCGTATGTGTGTGTATGCACACACAGGGATGAGCTGAATGACATCGAGACTGTTATTTCATATATTTAGAATATAAAAAACGTTTTATTATACAAATTGGTACTTTAATTTGATGAATGTTCTCAAATTGATACTTGAGATTTTTTGTATTAATTTGGCACCTAAAATGGAAAGAATTTCTTTAATTGGTGCTAATATGATATGAATCGATTAATTCGAATCGAATACTGTAAATGCGATAGTAACGTCTCATTCCAGCTTGTTCAATTCACAAACGTCATGATTAGAACATTTGATTTTACTTAAGTGATATAATGTTTCATACCACTGTATCAATTATATATTTTATAATAAAATTTAAATTCAAATTGAAGATGTACATTTAGAGTAAAGAATATGATTTGGAACGGACTTGATCTTGTGTGATAAGAAGGTGTTTCTAAAACTTAAGGGAAAATTTTATAGAATGGCAATAAGACCAGCGCTGCTGTATGGATCAGAATGTTAGGCAATAAAGAAGTATCAGAATGTTAGGCAATCAAGAAGGATCACGTAAGAAGGATGGAGGCTGCAAAAATGAGAATGCTTCGATGGATACGTGGTAGGACTCTGTGGGACATGACATCAAACTCTGCAATTAGGATGTCCTTGGGGGTGGTGCCTGTATCTGAAAAATTGATGGAGGGAAGACTACGGTGGTTTGGGCATGTCCTTAGGCGACAACCGTCGGATGCGGTCAGGAGGGTAGAGTCGATTACAGTCGACAGTGTCAGAAAGAGATGACGACTAAGAAGGAAGTGAGTAGACTGTTTGAGATATGATTTGAAGGATTTAGCCATTACCGAGGACATGACCTCTGATAGGAAAGTATGGAGACTTAAGATCAGAGTAGCCGAGTAGTGTAGTTCATAGCTATAGGGTGTATCATCTTTGTCTTCTTTTTAATTGCATTTGTAGTAATTTCCATTGACCTCTACTTTTTATACGTTTATGTCATTGGATTTTATAAAGGCTTAGAACTAGGGTAGTGGAGTAGTGTTGTCTTAGTTTAGGTTTTAACCCATTTGACTTTATTCATTATCGTAGTTTGCTATCGATGGCTTCTGTGTATACTTATCTGTAT